CGAGCCATGGCGCCTCCCCCCTCGCACGGACATACTGTCCCAAGCCAACGGGGAGATTTACCACCCCCACCCGGACAGGGTGGCTCTCTGGGCCTGGCCCGTAAGAGGACGAACCAAAATGCACTGGGGCTCCCGCCGCGTGTAATCGCCACTACTCAGAAGGCCAGGGCCGTTTCCGTGCGATCCCTATATGGCTGTAAGTGGCAAGTGTTCGAAGGGTGGTATGATGGGCGTGGTTTCACATCTTATCAGTGCTCGGTGCCTGATATTTTGTGTTTCCTGCAAGACCTCATGGAAAGAGGCAGGTCCTTTTCCACTATTAAGGTCTACCTGGCTGCGATTTCAGCCTGTCATGTGGGTTTTGGGGCTCCACCGTCAGGCAGCACCCTCTAACCCGCAGATTTATGGAGGGTGCACGCCGCTCTTTGCTGGTCATCAGGAGATCTGTTGAGTCTGTCCCAGAGTGGGACCTCTCCATGGTGCTGGAAGCGCGGTCTCTGTATCCTTTTGAGCCTCTGGGGAGTATTTCCCTTAAGCTGCTGTCCCTCAAGACAGCTTTGCTCTCGGCCTTGGCATCTGCTAAACGGGTCAGTGAGCTACATGCACTCTCGGTTCACCCCTCGTGCGCCAAATTCTCCCTAAGTGGAGATAAGGTTTTCCTTAAGCCTAACCCGGCCTTCATGCCGAAATGCTTCCCTGCGTTCACGTCGGAGGTTTTGGAGCTATCCGCTTTTCACCCTCCACCCTTTGCCTCCCCAGAGGATCAGGGGCTGAATGCTCTGTGTCCCGTCCGTGCTCTGCAAGCATAATGACCAGGACCAGTGCTTTCCGCAAGAGCGACCAGCTCTTTGTTTCTAGGGCTCCCCTGCACAAGGGGAGTCCCATTTCAAAGCAATGCCTCTCACATTGGCTTGTGGACGCTATACTATGGCTTATGAAGCAAAGGGAGTGCAGCCCTAAGGGGCATCAGAGCTCATTCCACAAGGGGCTTAGCCGCCTCTTGGGCTTTGTTCAGGGGAGTGCCACTGCAGGACATCTGCTCCGCGGCCAGCTGGGCCTCTCCTCATACCTTTGAGCGTTACTACCGGTTGGATGTCACCAGAACTTCGGTGGCACACTCGGTCCTAGGGGTAGGGTCCTCTTAGCCCTTTCCCACAGCCCCGTTTGGTTAACCAACGAGGAGTGAATGGGCCGGCTGGCCATGTTCATTCCTGTCACCAAGCATTCGCATTCCTTCTTGGGTTTAGCTATGTGCATTGGTGGTGCGGGGGCCATTATCATGTATGTGTCTCATGCATGTTTCATGCCCTGCTTGTCCACAGCAGTTAGCGTGGCGGAAAACTTGCAGGGTCATGTTTGTGGGACGTGTCAGGCACCGCCTCTCTGAGGTGACCGTCCTTCTCTGGCCTTCAGAACCTCACTGTGAGTGTATTGGGCAATCGGGGAGCTGTCCATGTCTCTCCCATAGTTGGATCTCGAAACGAGATGATGAAAGAGAACAATAGGTTACTGTCGTAACCCCGGTTCTCTGAAACATCGAGTGGAGAGATCCACCAGCCTTGCCCCGCTTGCCGCACGAGAAGCGAATATACTGACTGAGGAATAGCAGCGCGCCCAGCTGTGATATGCCCGTAGGTAAGGGGGTGTGGCCTCACCTGGCATTGGCTGCGCGCTTCTGTCTGTTAGCCAGACTTGGTGCAATTGGATGCTTCTGCAGAGGTCAGGTACGGATGCCCTTCCCATAGGTGGATCTCTCCACTCGATGTTTCAGAGAACCGGGGTTACGACAGTAACCTATTGTTTTTAAACCTTGGTTGTTTTTAAACCATGGTTAATTTTGTTAGCTACTATGATTTTACTGCAAATGCTGTGGTAAAACCATTAATTTTCATAAGGGTACTACAAATATACTTAAATTATCCTATAATGTACTTTACTAGTCACATTGAGTAAAATAATCTGATAAATATAAATGTATTAATTTAATCTGTCCACTGAAAATTTATCTAATAAAAATATATTTGCAACTGCTATTGAGACTGGTGTACATTGCTTGTTTTTTTTATCCATTATAGTGTAAGGGCATTTTTGTTAGCATGAGTAACTGATTATAAACCGTGGGCCGCCAGAAAACACTTATTATAAACCAGCGGCACGATAGCGGACCACCGTCGGGAAAGCGGCGTCTGCCGCTGGAGGTCCGCTAGAATAACGATGAGCAAAACGCCAGTGATCCGCCGGCGGCGTCCGCCAGTGGGCCGCCGACTTTGCCACCGGTGGTCCACCACTGGACCGCTGGACTCATGTTAGCTAAAGATAACTATAGATCAATGTTGTTCCAATATCGTTGCCATCAACATTAATAACATCAGGTTTTCATCGACAGGGTAATGGTGATTCAACATTCATTTTGCATTGAAATTTCGATATCAACCATAATGATGATTCAGATGGAAAAACAATGTTTATTCAATGTTGGCTTGCTGTCTGGGAAAGAATCGGCAAACCAAATCACAATATTCACTTATGTTATCCTGTGCGTTTTCAACTTTTAACGAACACTGCGGATACAGGATGTGGATGCAACACAAACTTCAAGGTTAGTGTTTTTACTTACTGTATGTTGTGTTTTGTTTATAACATATATGAAAATTGTCACAAATACACGCACCATAATCTGTTTGCTGTGTTTATGTGTGTAAAGGCCTATTGGCTATGGCTAGGGGTCAAAAGTTTGGATTCGTCTCTTTAAGCTCACTTTTTTGATGAAACATATATATTATTACAATTTAAAGTAGCTATTTTCGGTTTTAATATAATTACAATGTCATTTAGGCTGATGTAAAAGCTGAATTTTATGTATCATTAGACCTACTCCAGTTTTCGATATCACATGATTCTTCAGAAATCATAGTAACGTTAAAATGTTGATTGTATGCTCCTTTATTATTGGTGCTCAGTTAAGAAAGGTTCTTAATTTTGATCAATGTTGATCAACTTTTTTTATTAATTTATTACTTCCTTGCTATATAAAAGTATTATATTTTATATCACTTAACCAAAATCTTTGAATTGTTGTATATATTGGTTTTCAGAAGAAGAAAAGAACAACAATAAGCAGCACAACTGTTTTCAACAGTGATAATGTTTCTTGAGCATCAAATTCATAACATCCGTAGCTATATCAGAATGTTTTCTGAAGGATCATGTGACATCATGTGAACTAATGATGCTAAAATTCAGCTTTGATTACAGGAATAAATTACACTTTACTATATATTCACATATAAAACTGCAGTATTACATTGGAATAATATTTCACAATATTACTGTATTTTTGATAAAATAAATATAGCCTTAGTGAGCATAAGGGAACATTAAACTTTGAGAAACATTAAAAAATAAACCTTTTAAATCTTTTGACTGGTAGGCTACTGTGTGTGTATTTATGTGTCTGTGTGTATATCATTTAATTACTACTATTATTATTATTATTATTATGTATGAGGAAACTCATGACTCAATTAAGTCAAAATGATTTAACTTTTGAAATTTAATTATGTACTAACGAACATCCATTAACAAAAAAAAAAAAAAAAACGTTAACTTAAACTTAAAAACAATTAATACTGACAAGTTTAAATCTGTCTTCAAACCAAAAGATACCACACAAAATAATAGACTTGAGTGCAAACTTCCATAAAATAGCACACTACTTCCTTCTCCTAACAGGAGTAGGAAAACAAGGGTATGTGGCATACAAAAAGTTCAACCAAAATAATTTAACTTGTGAAATTAAATATAAATAGTGCAATGACCATCAGTCTTTTGTGTATAATACAGCATGTGGGCATATTTTGTTTTTATCTGACGCTGCTGTCACTCCACTTCTCAGGTCATCATACATCTCCCAGACACATGGAGACCTCCTGCAGAAGGCCACATAAGGTCCAAGAGCATCCTGGGTTAAGCCTCCTCTAAAAGCAATGACTGCCCGCAAGTAAATCTCTTTCCCTGGAGCATCAGATTGGAGGGAAATTCACTCAAAGGAAATTCTGTGGAGTTGCTTCCCAGGTCAGTGTCAATCCACATAAGTTCTCCCAAACTGTAACTGTGAGAAACTTTCCCTGCACAGAGCACTTTTTTTGAGGTATCTGGCTTGATTGCAGAGGGACACTGTGACAGACTTTGGATCGGCCTGAGGCAGGGGGACTCCGGGAGGTCAAGGCCTTCTTCCACTGCGGTCTGAAGATGAGCCATGCCAGAACCCTGCAGTACAGCAACAGAAGTACAAACAAATGCAATTTCCCTTGTGACTTGTTTGCTGAGACCACAATACTGCGAAGAGCACTGTTTTGTTAATGAAACACAAGTGCGTTTTGTCATTGACTTTTCAATGATAGTGGAGATGTGGCATTGTGCATCGATTTGGAGAGCACCAGACTTCAGTCGGACAGTTTTGAATATTTCGCTCAGCAGTTCTGCCCTCTGTATGTAGGCCTGTGCATTTAGACCCTTTGTGGTGATGGATTTCACTAGCTGGAGGAGGTTGTTGGAATCCTCATTGCAAACAATATTTTCAAAAGTGACACTATCACAGTAAGCACAACATAAGCATTGACAAAAAGCATCAAATGCACATGTGTTAAGCACAGATATTCTTGATTTCCTGAATTTAACAGGCTGTTGATTGTTTCCATTTTTCAACAGGTCCACTTTGAGTCTTTTCCCTCTCACAGATGGATCTGCATGGAGCCATTCAGGACAAGGAGAGAGGTATGAACTCCTCTTCCTCTTTTTGGGTGGAACCGCTCAGCCTCTCCAGTTTTCAACAGCTTCTTCATCTGTCGGATGGATGTTTGTGACGGTGTCAGACTTCCCAGAGCAGGAAGCATCCATCTCTGGCCTTCCATCTATCCTGCAGGTTGCGGTGGGTAGTGGATTGACTCCTGTGTCGATCACTTTCGCAACAGCCTTCACCTTTTTCCACACTCTTTTGTTTTGCAGAAAAAATACGCATGTTGCCTTCAATGAAGGACAGATGTCGAGCAATGAATCGATCCACTCGAATAGGCAAGTGTTCATGCTTGAAAAGGCCGCGTTTGATGTTTTTAAACTCGGCTTCGACATTGGCTGAACTTGCGGTGATGTTGGAGCTCCGGAAGTGAGGGATCATTACCCCTGTCCAGAGAGGTAAGTAATTTGCAAGCCAGATTATATTTGGAATAATCTCAGGGAGGAAGTGCATATTGTCATGATCACCATTAGATGTGGCAAGTGACCTGCTCTCCTCACATATGTCTGTTACCCACTGCCGCAGGTCTGTCTGTGTTTGGTCACATGGATCCACTTCTTCCAGGTCCGCACCCTCTACATCTGGAATGATGACACGCTCTTCTGCAATTCGGGCTTTTAGGTATTTCTTGCACCTTTCTGAAATGAGGGGGGCTCCAGAGCTGTCACTACCCTCTGTTTCGCTGAGAGCCACAATAGTAATGCATCTTAGCTCTCTTGCATCGTCCATGGATTGTGACATGAGAAGCTGAGCTATTGACCTAACAAAGAAATCTTTAATGCGATGTGTTTTTTTTTTTCAAGCAGTCCCACCGGCAGATCATCTTGATGCAGTGTGCAACATCAACCCGCACGAAAAAAGGTGGGACTTTTGCTGACTGTCTACCGAGTAAGACACCACAACACTCATTGATGTAGGTCTTAAGATCAGGATGAGAAGTAAAAGCCTTGACCAAAGCTCCGAGCAAAGCCAGAGAGAAGTCACTCACAACCTCTTTAGGTGCACCTGCGCGTATCCATTCTGTCAGCCAATGTGTTATGGCATTAACATCATGTCTCTCTGACAGCATTTGCACCACTGGGACACTTGAGCTCTCACCCCCTGCCACAACACCCTGATATAGGAATATATGGCCAGACTTGCCATTTGGTCTCTGTAGTTTCCTCACCACTGAGCCAGTTGCTCACAGTGGGGTTAGTAGATGTCTTTGATAACGTCTTGTACATATACATTTGTGTTTGACTCCAATAGTGACAGAAAAACTTGTCTAGTCCAATGTCTTTAATGCTACCACTGTGAGGTGCACTGTATTTTAGCATCTGCAATGACAGAATAGGATCCTTGTCGCCTAATTCTAAATCATTTCTCTCTTGCTTTGCGCAGGGTGGCCAAATTAGGCAGATTGTTTTTGTTTTAGAGAACTTGTTTTTGTATGTTACTGTTTCAGGCATAAATTCTATCCATTTCTGAAATGGAACTCAAATCAAAAGTGCAGCAATCTTTTGGACTGGAGGAAAGGGACCCTGGCTCAAAATCAGTGTCATCACTACTGCCACTTGTTTCATGATCACTTTCATGAGTAAACCCTAAAGCAGTCCAGATATTGTGTCTGTTTAATTTAACAAAAGTGTTCTCTTGGCCTCTTGGGGGCTGAGTGACTTCAGAATGACCACCTAATATTATTTTAATATCTAAAAAACTGAAGCAGCTCAAAAGAAACATTTTACAGCACAAACCAGCACAAACGAACGAGACTATTTTGGGTGAATCTGGAGCATGTGGGGGGCTGGTGACGTCATCAACAAGAATTGAATGTCTAATATTTTAAGACCCGACGCAGCACAAACGAAAATTTTACCGGCACAAACCAGCACAAACGAACGAGACTATTTTGGGTGAATTTGGAGCATGTGGGGGGCTGAGTGACCTCAGAATGACCACGTAATATTCTTTTAATATCTAAAAAACCGAAGCAGCTCAAACGAAACTTTTTACAGCACAAACGAACGAGACTATTTTGGGTGAATTTGGAGCATCTGGGGGGGCTGGTGACGTCATCGTCTATAATTCAATTTCCGATATTTTAAAACCCAACGCAGCACAAACGAAAATTGTACCGGCACAAACCAGCACAAACGATCGAGACTATTTTGGGTGAATTTGGAGCATGTGGGGCTGAGTGACCTCAGAATGACCTAAAAATATTATTTTAATATCTAAAAAACCGAAACAGCACAAACGAAACTTTTTACAGCACAAACCAGCACAAACGATTGAGCATAGTTTGACGACGTTTTGCGTTGGGTGGGTGGGGGGGGGGGCAACTTCACGCAGGTACCTGAGATAGCAATGAGTCGGCGGACCACCGTCGGTTCTCCGGCGGCAGTAGAAGCGTCAGAATGGCGACATCGCAAACACGTTGGACGGCGCACCGCCGGCGGCAGCCGCCTTCGTTAAGCGGCCGCCGCCTTTATATTGAAGGCCGTCCTTCCGCGGCCCGCCGGAGGCAAACGCTATTTTCGAGCGCTCTGCCGCCGCTTATTCTGGCTATATATATATTTTATTTTTTTATTTATAGCATGCAGTTTATCAAGAATAATGATTGCTCAAACCAGACAAATTTACAATTGGCATTTTTATTCCACATTTCAAAGTACAGTAACTGTCATTTAAACAAGATGTTTCAGATCTGAAACATAACAGAAAAATAAATAAATAAATATACTAACATGCAGGTTTCCAATTCAATTTTGGTTAAACAGCCTTACAAGCAAATTACAACACTTACAATAAGTGTTCATATAAAAAGGACAGCTCTAGGGTAAAAAAAAAATTACCAGTAAACATTATGACAAGTAAAGATGATATTTGATACCAAATAATGTGCAAGACACCAAATAAATAAAAGTATAACTACATTTACAAGCCATTTCTAACAATATGATAAGTGGTAGTAATTTATAGTAAAGCTCTGGAGTAGAATAGGCCATTATAACGGCAATGCTGACCTGTGGCACAAGGATTTACAAGCTTTATTTGAAAAAGAAAAAAAGAAAGTAATTTCCACAGTGAGTGAGTGTAGCAGGGCCGGCTCTAACCCTTTGGTTGCCCTAGGCGATATTGAGTTTTGCGCGCCCCCCCCCCCCCCCCCCCCATCCCCCATCCCCCATCCCCCCCATCCCCAACCCCCCCCCCCCCCCCCCCCCCTTAAAAAAATTATAAGTATTTATTAAACTAAACATGCTCTTATAGTTACTCAAAAACTTAAACAATAAATTGTTCATACAAATGCTACAAAGAACGTTCAAGGATATTTATATCATAGTTGCATTGTACAACTATATTTTATCTGACCATAAATAACTTTTAGTAGATAAATTACAACTACTACCAGCACTAGGCCTACTATTATTACAATCCATTGGGCTGCTACAAGGTTAAGGGGGTTTAAGGGGGTATTTCCCCGTAAGAACATTTTGTGCATTTTAATGTTAAATTCATCAATCTGGTGCACTTTGAGAGTTCAAAACTAAAAGCTCCAACCCATATTCAGTGTGCAAATTGAACAAAGAAAAATTCAAACCTCTTTTTATTACAGTGTCTGTCTACATTACACTACTACATAATAATAGATGATATTAATCCCATGACAGTAATTGCCATAGGCTATATTGTAAAACAAATGCACTGAAAAATAAAGGAAACTTTCATGAGTATTGTACAAATTTCTATACTTGAAAGTAAGTTATATATTTGGAAGTAACCCAGCGCCGCCAATTAAGCAAAACAAAACAAAATGAATGGGCCATCGATGTACCAGTTTTATGAGCCGTTAAGACAAAAATAGAAAAATAAAAGTATGAGATGTATGTATCGGCCCAAAAAGCACGTCGGCCCCGCGGGAATCTCCCGGTTGTCCCGATGGCCAGAACATTTGACACCTTAATGGATGAGATGAGAAGACTTACCTCTATACTGGGCTTTCTTTTTATATTGTTGCTTTCTCCGTTTTCGTCCCTGTGCACCAGAGGGTTTAGACGACCGCTTCATTTTCGATCAGCGCGCGCAGCAGCCGAGCACTTGCCCGTAACCATAGAACGTAACGTAACGCAACTAACCCCCGCCCCCAGAACATTTTCTTAAACATTTGTACAGATTGCAAAACTCCCAATTGCAAATTAATCCCTTATACCTGTAAAAGGTAAAAAAAAAAAAAAATCGAGCTTGTCAAAAAATGAAAGACATAAACGAAATTGCCTGGGGTGACAGAGAGACAACATATTTCTAAATATTTCACTTTATCTTTCAGGTCAAAACAGGGATTTTCATGTTTATTATAAATATTACCATGGTTGCAAATGAATAAAAAAAATCTAAAGCATACCCAAGCTTTTGGCCAAGTTGCAGATGTCTTTCACTGTTCACTGATTTCTAACTTCATCCATTTATTCTGCTAAATTGTTCATACCATGAATGAAATATTTATTTTAAAACCTAATCAGAATCAGAAAGATATTTATTGCCAAGTAAGTTTTACAAAAGGAATTCTTTTGGACTATTTATGCATCTCAATTGTGCATATATCAAAGAAATGTAAAGAATTGTCACCTTAAGTGAATAAAATAATTCTATATATTTTACATAGGCCTATCACTGAATCGCTTCAGAGTTTCAACGTAATTTAAATGTATTTTCCTAAACCTTATCATGGAATCAGACTGAGTCAAATCTGTTATAAGGGTCATTCCTACTATTCGGTGCCATTTCAGCTTGGTAAATTTCCAAAAAAAAAGTAAAAATTTCCATGATTTATTCATTTTATCTGAAGAATGGTTTGTTACACTACAAGAAAAATATATTGGTCCAGCTCAGGATATCACTCTTTAATAATTTTGACCAAATTCTTCACACATGCAAAGGCCAAATGTCCACCCTGTTACAGGACATTCTCATCTAAATTAATAAATGTTTTGAATTCACAGTTATTGTAATATTTACATTTTCTAAGAGCTCAAATGTCCCTCACTTTACCCCGCAAATGTATTTTAACAAAGTGTTCATTAACGAGCATTATCTTTAAAAAAGTTGTATTTTAAGCCACAGTGGTAATTTCAACACATTTCTTTTAGAATAAAAAGACATTTCAATGGAATTTTGCCGCATTTTTTAATTATTTCATTTTGCCATTTCATTCCCTAAAATTAACCACAAAGATATGCATAACATTTGTTGAACTTATTTTATTAACTTAAAATAATAATAAAAAAAACAGAGGTAACAGGGTGGACAGAGGGGTAACAGGGTGGACATCACACCACTAAACAACAATAAATGTTATCAACTCATTTACCCTGGCACCCCCTGAAGGTATATAACAAATAAATGTATAATAAATTAATTATAAGTACCAATTCAAGCTGTAAACACTCATTTATTTAGCATTTACGCCCACTCTGTTACAATATGTCCACCCTGTTAGTGTGCAAAAGAGTAACAGGGTGGACAGTAACAGGAGGGACATTTTATGCTAAAGTTAGCCATTGCTACAAATGTGATGAAAAACAAGCTAGTGCGCAGTGATTATTGAGGAAGATTTTTAACCTGTTTATTAACCATATTTTCAAAATTACAAACAATTATCAGTTTCCACTATAAATAGGCATAACAGGGTGGACATGTTATGCTTTACCACTTCAGTGAATCATTCTAAAACATTGAAAAAAGAGTGAATTAAGGAATGATACTTACTCTGCTTCTTGAAGATAATTTGCCACCAAAAAGTATTAAAATTCTTGAGAGACATGTGATTAGAGGAACAGTCAATGGGCGTGTTCAGAGGGATTTTCCATCAGAGTAACAGGGGGGACATTCAATTCAGGGACACAACATTTTTTAAAGACTTTAAGTATTAAAAATGTATAACTAACAAAAAATATATTTTTGTGAGGAATATTATAAATAAG